CACTGACAAGTTGATAGTTCCTAGATGGGTGACGGACAGTATTTTGTTTTCTAGATAGGATGATAACTTATTTTGGCAATTTTCTAACTGTTGTTGTTCTTTTTGTACAATAGACCAAGATCCGTGATGGAAACACTGATGCCAATGTGCTACAGTGGTTCACGAGATTAGGGGCTGATGGTTTTGACCAAGTAGGTGAACTTGAACTTATTGTACTCATGAACTAGAACTGTCATGTTTCCTTGCAAGTTTGGGAGGTGGGAATGAACTTGAGAAGGCTGCTTTTTACCCCTGTACTTATGAATGATGTGTGCTTCTTTTTTTAAAGCTGCACTTATTGTCGCAAGGAAATTGAACTAATATGTTTGTTGCAAGTTTGGGCGGTGGATATAAACTTGAGTAGCATTTATTTTTTGTAGTGGGTTGCTTACTCAATTAGAACTTATGATTACCTGATTTTTGTTTGTACTTCTGAATTTCAATTTCCCTCTTCTATTTTATTGTTTGGAGGCTGAATTTTTTGTTTCATTATGATTTGTTAAATTCATTTTTCCTCTGTGATTTTTTTGTCAGCTTCTTTTCCCTACTTTTGATCCATCGTCATTTGCGGCTGCCATGAAGCCTAGTGAAGAATCTGGGCATTGGTGCTTGATTGTTCTGAATTTGAGGTTCCGTCATTTCGAGTGTTTTGATTCACTCCGCGATGAAACCTGGAGTGATGCAGTTAGATTCTTAAGGACTATGATAGAACATAAAGAAGCTTTGGAGGGAGTCCAGCGTAGACATGGCCAAACCGTTCTCGCCGTCGCATATTGATGGTTTCTCTTGCGAGTTTATGCGGGTGCCGCAGCAGAAAAACATGTGAGTATCCATTTTTAATGATTTTTCTTAGTTGTTTTTGTTGCTCGGAGGATGGTGTTCCTGTTTTTTCGAATTTGTGATGTACCCTTTTGTATTTTCTTTTGTGACATGCATGATTGTGGCTTCTTTATGCTACAAAACTGCAAGACGTATCATTGCCAGGAGGATGGTGTGATTGAAATGTTGGATTACAGCCACGAAGACGTTCTTGACATTAGGAAGACTTTGCTGTATACCTGCGCAACTAGCGATGTGTTTGATGTTGACTTTCGTGGTTTGTTTGGCATCGAACTCTGTACGTATGCATCACCTTTTGTAATTTTTTGCAGGTTGTACTTCTTGATTAGTACTGTCATGAATTATTTATTTGTACTTAACCTTGATGCGGTCCTTTCTTTTTTTATTTTGCAGGTGAGTGGCTGGATATTGGTGAGCATGGCTATAGGATCTCTGGCTGCCAGTTCTCCGAGCTCGAGCGTGTAGCTATTGTTTTTAGCCAGGGGCGTTCTCCCGAAAATACAAGATCTGGTGTTATGAAGGGGCGGTTGGGAGCTCTGAAAGGTTCTACGGCTGCTTGTGCAGAGAGCCACTCTACACCCAAGAATCCCATTGTGGAATTGATAGACAGTGATGATGATGCATTTGACAAGATTGCTAGCATGGGAAGAGTCACCAGGAGCGCTGCTGCCAAGGGTTTATCCCCCCTTGCTGGAATAGTGGCCCATAGAGCTGGTGCTACTAGGAAGGATCCTGCTTTGGATTCTGGCAATGTTACAAGCACGAAGCGCGCACCCAGATCTCCTATAAAGTTTTTCTCCCCTGTGCAACAGCTTCACCCTCATAAATTCCCTCACCTGGACAAGGCTCGCAAGTTGTATAATTTGTTGCTTTAGTGATAAATGGCATGAGAAGTATGCCGAGTGAGTACCTCTCATTATGTTTCCTCTTCTTTTCTTCTGTTGTTTCTAACTACTAGATAAATATGACCTGAATTGTTCCTTTTTATAAACTTGAACTGCTATGAATGCCTTATCTTGCTTCCCCTACTTTTCGTTCTTGTGTGTGCTGCAGGAATGCATTCTCAATGATACCTCAACCTGATGATAGCGTAACTAGCTTCACTGGGGAACGCATCTGGGAAGTTTTTGCACCTGGGCAAATGATAGAGGGTGATGTAACAGACTTCCTCATTGATGATTGGAAGCAAGATCCCAAGAGAAATGCCGATTTCGCATCTGGAAAAAGGTATTGTTGAGTCCATATTTCAGCACGGTAATCAATTAGATCATTTCTTTCTGTTAAACAAGACCGCCTATTGTTTTACGAGTTTTAATAATACTTTGCTTGTTGATCCTTTCCTCCTGTCTATTTCTTTTTTTGCTTTTTGCAGGTTGTGCTTGACTATACATTTTACGGTGATGAAGATAAAGAGTTTAATGTGGAGAGTGCAGCGAGAGATTTCAAGAGCTATGTTAAAGATGAGGAAGACTTGCTCAGTGCCGACCTTGTGAGTTCTACTAGCTGATTTTTTGTTTTATTTGTTTGTTGTCATGCTGGTTTTTATTTTGAATATTTAATATCTCTTTTTTGGTCATTTGTTTTTAGATCATGATGCCTCTATTCAAACCCATGATTTTAGCAAAGGATAGGAAAGTGAACCACTTTTCCTTATATGTCATGAATCGGTACCGAAGTAGTGTCGACATCCTTGACTCTTAACCTTATCCAAAGAACCATCGTCCTTCAAAGAACACCTATCATAAAGACTGCGAGAAGATTGTGAGTGACATTTATTATCTATACTGGATTAATTTTTCCGCATCTTTGTTTCTGCTTTTCTGAGACCTGAAAATGTGTGGTTTCTTTTCTTTTTTTATAGATCTCTAGATTGGTCCAAGTCATGAAGGTTGTGTATGGTGATGCTCAGTACAATGCGAGCAAGCAGCCCAAATGGGAGGTTTTTGCAAAGAAACCAACGTTTGTCAAGGTTCCACTTCAAGGGGCGAATGAATGTGGCCATTATACTCTGAAGTATGCGGGATCCTGTGATGGTGAAAAGATCGTTGAGAACATTCGAAATAATGACGTGGGTTCTAGTTGAGCTTTTCATTTTCCGTGTTTGGCTTATTACGTATTCTTTTTTTATGTGTCGTGATTTTTGATAACTTGTTTTATTGTTTTGTAGCCTCATATTGTTGATTGGAACACTGAGGATCTGTATAGAGTTGTGTTCAACCGGAGTAACTAGCTTCTGGCGACGGAGCTTCCCAAGGAGGTTCAGGCTTTGGCTCCTGGTGCATAGAAGAAGTGGTCATCATTTGCATAGTGAATGGGATAGTTGTGTGATATATCTCTTGAAAGCATTGTAGGCTTTGTTTGTAGTGTTTGGATGTCCTGCCAAGTACTATGTAATAACTGGTATATTTTGTGTTGTGTTTAAGTGTGGCACAATGTTTAACAAACATTCTTTCCATGATGATAGTGTGGTTGAATAGTTGTTTCACTTGTGTATGTTTCATCAGGAATTCGTTTTGGTCAAGTTTTATTTTTTGTACTCAAGTCTTATACACTAGTTGAACTGAAAACACCTTTTTTCAAGTGCATTACGAATTGTTGCTGAAAAAGTGAGATTTATTTTATTTTTCATCTGTTCCAACCTAAGTTGGACCTTTATAGTTTCTATACCCTCTTTTCTTGTACTTATGATATAGTTCTGTTAGTACTGAACTGTAATCTCATTCAACGTAAGGCTTTTAAAATTTGGTGTCATGATAGCACTTGTGGATCTAGCGTGAGTGGAGTGATGCTTACTTGTTATGTAGAACTGATGTTATATAATGTATTAGAACTGACATTTTTTTGGGATTGAAATTATTTACGACAAAGTTGCTACGTGATCTCTAGCTAGATTTTATTTAAGTATAAGAAGTTTAGCAAAATTTGGGAGCCAAATTTTTGTTTGAACTTCTTGAATTTTAGTAGTTGAACTTCATAGTAAAAGTTAAAGCACTGGTTTAAATTAGCTACTTTTAACAAATAACCTTATTAAGTTCATAACTACTTCACTAGTCAATGTGGACTGATGCTTCTGTTGTTTGTTTTTGTGAATTTTTGTCCTTGGTTGAAATGTAATCTATTTGGTTGAGTCTTGGCCTTCTTTCTCAAGGCATTAATTGGTATCATCATAGCACTTACCGAATAAACTAAGTTGTACTGAGATTTCAATTGTGCTAGTACTTTGATCATTTTTTTGTTATGTTTGAAACTAGTACCTCACCAGTCATTGTGGGCTGATGCTTCTGTTGTCTTTCTTGTGATTTTTCTCCTTGGTCGAACTGATATCTTTTTGATTTAGTTTTGGACTTCTTTTTTCTAGGTTGTGGTTCTTCTCAAGGCAATATTTGGTATCATCATAGTACTTGCCGTATAGACTAAGTTGTACTGAGATTTCAATTTTACTATTATTCTTATTCTTAGTGTGTCACTGTGTTAGGGAATGCGAACTGAAGATTCCCGTTCCTTTTTATTTTTGTAGAATGAATGTACTATGTGTTCAAGTGTACCAGTACTTTCAATCCTAGTATGCTAGTGACTAGGAAATACGTACTGATGATTCTTTGCTTTTCCTGTTGCAGTACTTAGTAATTTTCTAACTACTATTAGCATGATGCTTTTAGTATTGAATATTGTCCTCGGCTAAAACTTAGTCTTTTTAGTGTTCTTCCGAAACTAAAAACTGATTTTTAGTGTGATAGTACTACCGTACATGTCTAGGCTATACTGAGCGTCCAAGGCTACTACTTGATGTTGTCCTTAGTTAGTTTGCCACAGTTTTTTTTGTGAAAATATCCATGTGTGATTTGTTGCTCCATGACTAGTGCTGCATAGCAGTCATCAAGTTTCATTCACAACTTACTTCAACTTCAAATGATGGATAAACAAAATAGGAAGCTAGCAAACTTGTCAAACGACATAAGCAAATGATGTACTTGATAGACATAGGCAAACTTGTTCAAACTCTGACACACATAACATAAGGAAGCTGGTTCAACCTAACGAAAGCAAACTACGAATCTGAAACAACAAGATTAAGGACAAGCAAAAGCGCGAGCAACACGTAGGCAGACTTTCATGCCTCTTCATCCCGTGAAGTTGCAGTGGTAGTAGGGGTCAGCCTCCCGCTCTTTTGAAATATCCCAACCTGTCACGATGTTGTTGATTATCTTCCATGACTTGTACATGGCATACACATCTATTCCTGCGTACTCGATGAGCTTGTCTGGCAGCGGGCTGATCCCCCACAGTTTGTGATCTTCCTCCTTGTCGATGTTCTTCTTCATGCCTTTGTAGAATGGATGGATGACGCTGGCTGCAACATCGGGCAAGGAGTCGTAGAATTTGGTTGTGGTTGGAACTTTCCACTTGCGCTGCATGTTGATGAAGTTGTTGCGGTTGATCTCCAAACCAGACTTGTTCAGCATCCGCTTGTCACCTTCAATGCTGAAACCGGCAAATGTGTACAATTTCTCCTCCTGCAGGAACTGTTTGAGGCGCTTGGGCCTGCAAGAGGGGAGACACATATTGAAGATTAGTGTTCTTTTTCGAAGATTTAGTTCTCCCGCTTTTTGATTTACAAGTGATAATCCATGAGGTAGATGCTTATATATTACAAGTCATGGATGAATGTAGTTCACAAACTAGTACACAAAGTCCTGAAATTAAATTCAACTACACCATGTTATTTTTCTTTTTTGGTATCTTCAGTGCTTCACCAAATGCTTCACCAAGTTCAAGAACCTATTTACCAGAGTCAATGATATATGTGCTTCTTACTTCAAGTTTAGTTTTCTTTTTTGTTGAATAAAATACCTATACCAGTGCTTGATACATCTTTGTTCATCAATTCTTTATCAAGTTCAGAAATTAATTTGAGAAACATGTGCATCAAGATATGGACCTATACCACTTCACCAAACGTCTTTTAATACATCAATTCTATAAACTATACTAGTGCATCAAGATCAGAATCTATGCTAGTACATCAAGTTCAGAAATTAATTTGGTGAAACATTTTTCAGATGCTAATCCAGTGCATCAGTTTTAGATGTTAATCTGGTGAAACAATCCACTTCACAATTTCAGAAATGCATGTAACTTGAGAAACATGTACTCGTGCATCCACTTCACAAACTATAGTAGTTCATCTAGTTGGGAAACAAGTTTAATGAAATTTTTAGGGAGTAATACTAGTACAACAAATTAATGAACAGTAGTATGGGTTACCATCTTGTGGCTGCTGCGATGCGGTACACCAAGAAGAGTTCCTCGACGCACAACTGCAGGACTGCTGCCATCTGGGGAGGTTCATCTTCACTAGTGTACTCCACATCAACTCCGATGAAGCTCGGATACAAGCCGTCGCCCTTCATCCTGAGCCTGCTCATCATCTCGTTGGCCTTCTCTAGTTCACTGGTGTAGACGATCTCCAGGGTCTCCTTGCCGTGGAGCTCAACCCCTGTGAGGGTTTTCGTCTACTCACGCTTCTCGCCGGAGACATGAACATCGTCGAGGTTGCTGCTCTTGTCGGACATCTCGCCATGATGACGCTTGGTTGACGGTTCCTCCGCCATCGCCCTCCTCCGACGACTGTGGGCTTGGGAGAGAGAAGCTTGTGGTTTGTCTGCAATGGAGATGGAAGCGGCAATGGTGGTTCTGGGAATGAAGCAGAGATGGAAGACAATGGGTTATTTTCCAGCGCCTCGACGGGGATGTGTGGGAGGCGGTTCGTCGGGGACGTGGGTGTAGTGGTCGTGGGGGTCGCCGTTTGCACTTCCTTGTGGCAACCGCTCAGTGGGTGGCGCGGGTGGTGGCCTGGAAGAACAAACCGTCCAAGTCAAGGGTTTTTACTGTCAAACTGAGTAGTCTTGTCAAGTTGTACGTATCAGCTGCTAATCCCACTTGCATGTCTCAGGGGTGGTGATGATGGCATTTTGCACTGTTTAAGTGATGTATGCTTTTATATGTTTTTCAGTGACGAGGTTAAGTCTTGTTTTTTCACCGAAGTCTTATACACTAGTTGATCCCAAAACATTTTTCAGTGCCCTGGGAGTTGTTGCTCAAAACTAGGACTTATTTTATTTTCATCTGTCTGAACCTAAGTTAGGACTTTATAGTTTTTGTATTCAGTTTTTAGTGCACTTATGGTTTAGTGTTGTGTGAACTGAATTGTAATTTCATACATCGTACGGTTTTGAAATTTGGTGTCACAGTGGTGTGAGTGGCCTGACTTTTCCTGCTTTTTAGTACTGATGTCATATGTATGTTTGAACTGAGTTTTTTTTGGGGGATTGAGATTATTTACGATGAAATCGTTCGTTGAGGTGTTGACAGATTTTATATAAATAAGAAATTTAGCAGAATTGACAAAGAAAATATATTTGAACTTCTTGCATTTTAGCAGTTGAACTTGTCAGATTTTAGATAAATAAGAAAGTTAGCAGAATTGACAAACAATATCTATTTGAACTTCTTCCATTTTAGTAGTTGAACTTGAAAGTAATATTTAATTCGGTGTTTTAAATTATGTACATTTAACAGATAGGCTATTAAGTTCTCTGCTTTTTAGAGTTTCGTTGTTTTTGTATCATATTTTTTCCTTTTTTATCATCCGTGGTGCAGAGCTAAAATTATTTTTATTTTTATTTTTCGTATTTTAAAGTTATTGCCTGCGAACTAGTAGTTGAACTTTTATATTTTTAGTTTTCGAACATTTTTTTGTAGTTTATATTTCTTTATCCCGCGCTCTGCTTTGTTTAACTGGCCTTATTGGTAGGGTGTTTGTAGACGATGGAGGCTATTGGGACGTTTTCCTGCCCAAATAGCCCGCGCGGGCGTTTTGGAGACTGCTGGATGTGCGTGTGCTCTGGGTTTAGTCCCACCTCACTAAGGGAGGAGGCTCTTTACCTGTTTATAAGCACGGCCGAGTCCTACTGGTTGAACTCCTCTGAATACTTACTTGAGCGCTTATACACGGCGCTCGCTCTCTATCATGACCTGTGGGCCCTGGTCGGCTGGCCCTGTGTTGTGAGGATTACTAGGGATTCACCGACGGTTCCGCCGTGGGCTCGAGTTCAAGTATCTAGCATTGTCAGGGACTGCTTGTCCTTGGGTGGTCAATTTTTACTTTTTTTGGGGTTTGAATCTAGTACTTGACTCCACCAGTAACTTGGACTGATACTTTTTGTTCTAGTTCTGTGGAAGTGTTATTTTTTCATTTGAAGTTTTTTGCCTTGTTTATCTGTTTGTTTTTGTGATTATTCTCAAGGGTCTTCTGGTATCATTTTCAGCACTATGGTACTTGCGTGTAGACTAAGTTGTACTGATAGTCCATTCATAGTAGCACTTATGTTCTTAGTCTAACATTTTTCTTGGGGGGGATTACGAACTGATGCTTCTTTCTAGTTTTTATTGTAGTAAGTATGTACTGTCTGATCAAGTGTACTAGTACTGTCATTCTTAGTCCGTAAGTGACCAACATAAGTGTGTGCTGATGCTTCTTAACTTTTTCTGTTTGTAGTACTTGTTAATTTTCTAGCAGTTACATATGAATGAGAACGGTACATGAAGTACTAAGAAATTCTGCTTCAACTTTTGAAGCATTGTGAAGCAACTCAAATTGTACTGATTGTTTTCAATGTTATGTTTTCTATACTACACATGGAACAACGTTGTGTGATTAGTTGCTTCATAACTAGTACTTTAGAGCAGCCACAAAGTTCCATTGAGAAGCTACTTTGAATTTGAAATGATGGATTAACAAAATACGCTACCAAACTTATATAATGAGATAAGCAAAACAATATACTTGATGACATAAGTAAACTTGTTCAACCATGACAAGCACGTCATAATCATACTGGTTCAACCGAACAAGAGCAAACTACCAATTTGAAACAACAAGATAAAAGGCAAGAACAAGCGGAAGCAAAACGAAGGCAAGCTTTGATGTATCTTCATCCCTAAAAGGGGCGGTCGTAGTAGTGGTCAGCCTCCTGCGCTTTTGAAATTTCCCAACCATTTGTGATGCTGTCGACCATGTTCCATGACTTGTATGTGTCGTACGCATCTACTCCTGCATACTCGATGAGGTTGTCTGGCAGCAGGCTGATCCCCATAGTTTGTGGTCTTCCTGCGTGTCAATGTTCTTCTTCATGCCTTTGTAGAATGGGTGGATGATGCTGGCTGCAGTACCAGTCAAGGAGTCGTACTCTTTTCCGGTGTATGGAACTCTCCAGAAGTGCTGAATGTCAACATACTTGTTGGGGTTGATTGTCGGAAGGCCAAACATCTTCGTCTTCTCTATGTTGCCTTCAATGCTGAAACCAGCAAATTTGAACAACTTCTCATGCTTTAGCATCTCTTTGAGGCGCTTGAGCCTGTAAGGGGAGAGACATTTTGAAGACTAGCATTACTTTGATGTTTGAATTCTTCATTTTTGTTTTTGTTTTACAAGCGATGAATCCATGAAGTAGATGCTTATATAGCATAATTAATGGATGAATGTACTTTAGAAATTAGTAAATAAAGTTCTGAAATTAAATTCAAGTACATCATGTTATTTTTATTTTTGGATTATACATAGTTTGAGCCAATGTTGTATGTGCTGCTTTAGTACTAGTTTATTTACTTTTGTTGAATAGGACAACACATACCAGTGCCTCAGCAAGTTCTTAGTTTTTTTGCTTATGAAAATAACATTAGACCAAATTCAGAAACTACTTCACTACATCAAGTTCAGAAACATCTTTTTAATACATTGAGTACAGAAACTACACTATCGGATCAAGATCAGATACTACACTAGTAAATCAACTTCAGAAATTAATCTTCTGCAAATTTTTTGAAATAGTAATCCAGTTCATCAGGTTCAAAAACACATTTATGGTGTATCTACTTGAGAAAATGCAGTAGTGCATCCACTTTCACAAACCACACTAGTACATCTAGTTGGGAAACAAGTTTGATGAAATTTTTAGGATATAGTACTAATTAAACACATGAACCAAACAGGGCAAATGAGTAGGATGGGTCACCATTTCGTGGCCGCTGTGATGTGGTATACCAGGAAGAGTTCCTCCACGCACAACTATAGAACTGCTGCCATCTGGGGAGGTTCGTCTTCCCTGGTGTAGTGCACACTAAGGCCGACGATCTTACGATGAGAGCCGCCAACCTTACTCTAGAGCCTGGATATCATCTCGTCGGCCTTGTCTGGTTCGCTGGTGCAGACGATCTCCAGCGTCTCCTCGCCGTGGAGCTCAACCCCTGTGAGCATTTTGGTGTATGCGTGCTTCTCGCGGAGGATGTGAACGTCATCGAGGTTGCAGCTCTTGTCGGACGTCTCGCCATGATGATGCTTGGTGGATGGGTTCCTCCGCCATTGCTCTCCTTCAGTGACTGTGGGCTTGGAATAGAGAATTTTCTGGGTTGTCAGTGGTGGAGACGCAGACGGTGATGGTGGTTCTTGGAATGAGGCAGAGATGGAAGACAATAGGTTATTTCCTGGGCATGGACGGGGATGTGTGGGAGGTGGTTCATCGGGGACGTGGGTGTAGTGGTCGTGGGGTCGCCGTTTGCAGTCCCTTGTGGCAACTGCCCAGTGGGTGGCGCGGGCGGTGGCCTGGAAGAACCAATCGTTCAAGCCAATTTCTTTGCCAGGGTATTAATCTAGTCGAACTGAGTAGTCTTGTCAAGCTGTACTTATCGGTTGCTTTATCCCACTTGCTCGTCTCAGGGTCGGTGACGATGGCATTTTACTGTCGCACTGATCCGTCTTGTCAAGCTGTACTTATCAGCTGCTTATCCCACTTGCATGTGTCAGGGTTGGTGATGATGGAGGTTTGTACTTCTCTATTATGTTACTTGGACTGGTGGTTGAAGTGTAATTAAACTTACCAAATACCAGTCAGACTGTGTGAGTCATGCTAATCTTTTTTAAAACTTTTATTGTTCTTTTTGAAAGGATTGTTTATATGAACATAATCTTTGAAAGTATTTTTATAGATAAATTAGTTTTTCATCAGTATAGGTGTATTATATTTGCATTTGCTTGAGGTAATTATTATTCTGTACTGATGGAATTTCTGAACTAGGACTGGCAGAACCAGACATAGCTTGTTTTTTGAAATGATGTTTTTTGAGGATTATCAGTACTGATGTGTGTGAGGGTTTAAATTTTCCTTAACATATTTTTGTTGAGTTACTGGTCGACAGTAATGTTGGTGTTACATAAATCGAGATAAGTTTTTCCAAATATATTTGTGACTGCATTCAAAAGGATTATCAAATGGTTTACATAATAATGTCACTGGTCCAGCGGGCACAAATCACAAATTATATCTTAACTATAGTACTGATTGAGAAATCGATGATAAAGCTATAAGTTTTGGTAACGACAGTGTTTCTGAAATGTTTCCTCATTGTGTACCGAGGCAACTGAGACTACAAGCTTATTTTCCAATTGACGCAGTAGCATAACCACTATGGATTCTTTAGTCTTGAGATCCTCCTAACTGGCCTCGAATGTTGTCCCGTGCTGGCGCCCTTTCCTGGTTGAGCCTTGGCAGTTTCC